TCTCCTGCTGTTTTGCTGTATTACATCACTTTACCCCCTGTTGTTACATGTCAAACTCATTAGTTCTGCTCTGTGTGAGCGCTGTGCTGAGGTGTTGCACGCCAGCCTTTATCAACATTTCCGATCTGTTTTTCCCAGAGGAAAACGAGGGCTTCTTAGAAGAGGATGATGGCTCAGGTAACTCCTGCACCATCGGCTCAGAAATCTACCTGGATGTCAGTTATCTTCATTACCTCTACGACGCCCATATGAGCATCAGCAGCTGCATACGGGCCTGCAAGGTTTGGTCAGCCCCGTACGACGGCGAGGACCCGCCTCCTGAGAAATACCAGCCTGGCGTCCTCGAGGAGCCGGGACTTAAGAGTCGGCAAACCCAGATGGCCCTCAAGAGAGTTTCACAGCCGCTGGCGCCGCGCCCTCGACCCTGCCCACCGCCGAATACAGAGCCACCTTCCATCAACCAGCAGGAGCTGGAGTGGGATGATAGTTACGATGCATGCCCAGTGCAGACTGCTGAAGCTCCCGTGGAGAGTAAACCTCCACAGCAGCCTCCTGCTGAGCCACCAAAGCACATCCAGGAGATGAGGAAAACAGCCATTATGTTGGTAAAAGGCTCATATATTGAGGAAAATGAGTTCCAGGATGACGTCATGGTATACGATCTTGTTGCCAAGAAAGACACCAGAGATGGTGAGCACCAACCAGGCTCAGCAGAAGTTCCCCTAGAGAACGGACTCAGTCTGACACTTCCAAACTCTCTGATGGCTGATAACCGCAAGAATAGCTTGGACACAAAGGCCAAAGGTCAGACGGATTGTAATTCCAACCTCCCAAACACCACCACTGCTGCTGAGTTGGGTGATGACCTTTTGGCCCAATATGAGGAGCTCATTCGTACATTGGACACTGAAGCAGGTGGAAAGATGGTCAAAAGTGACGCAGAGTTGAAGAAGCCCGTCACACCTGCAGATGAAGTGGAGGAGGTGGAGGAGATGGATTTCACCTCCTTCTCTGCTGAGACACCAGAGCCAGAGAAAGTGCATTCACCATTTGGGAGTAAGTTTTGCAGTGGAAACACGGGCAGGAACCACGCAGTGCCTTTTACTGGTGAGTTAAGGGAAAGCCTCTGCATTTACCAAAAACTACATTCAGACAGCACAATTAAAAGATTGTTTATGATTATTCTCTCAGGTCCATTTATCAGTGTGCTGTTGTCTCGTATGGAGAACATGCTGTCTAACTCGCTCCATGTCAACTTGTTGTTGACGGGCATCCTGGCCCAGTTGGCGGCTTACCCTCAGCCTCTCCTGCGCTCCTTCCTCATCAACACCAACTTGGTCTTTCAGCCGACTGTTCGCTCCCTCTACCAGGTAACACAAATATGTTGTATTTATGCTTGTGTAGGCAGGAGTGAGCCTTTTATTTCCATCCCTTCCCCCACCCCCCGAGGCTTTTGTTTCAAAGTAGACAAAGGGAAGAAAAAGAAATCAAAAGATTTGGGTTTGAAAGATGTTGAAACATGCAGCTTAGCTTTCAGAAGTGAGATTGAAAATAGAAATACAATGAATTTAAAACTGATCTCAGTACTCTTCTCTCAGTTCTCTCTTATAGTACAACTCAGTAAGATGCAGACTTTAAGGTTGTTCTTTGATTACATCAGTGTAAATACTCTTTCTTTTTGGTGTTTCCCTTCAGGTACTAGCCACCGTGAAGCACCAGATAGAAGAGCTGGCTGCCACCAGAAAAGACTATCCAGAGCTGATCACTGCTGCCCAGCACTGGCTGTTGGCCAGGGAGACTTCGTTCATGGCAGCAGGTGACAATACACCCACATCTAGGATTGTTTCTATGCCAGCTATGGTTGGAATCTGTATCTGTTCATAGATCTGTAACAGTGAGAGTATGAGCGACCCAATGACTAGAATAGACTAGAATATAAACTCTGCGCTGGTGTTGAGTTCCTCAATCTCACTAATTTGCTTTCAATAATGGGTCAAGTTCAAAACAACATATACATTCATTGTCTTTTTGGCTCCTGTTGAGAATCAGAATAAATTCTACTTGATTTTATCAATCATGTGTCTTTGCAGTTTTGGCTCCAGCTAAACCCTGGAGTTTTAAGCCTGCTTGAAATAGATTCCCCATGGTTTTAGAGTTGTACAAGCTACAAAAAACGTTGTCGGGAGTATGTTTGCGAAAAGATAAGAGCTGTATTTTCTAAGATGGGAAATTTTAAAGGGAATTTTTTAGTTGGTTAACTAAAATATTCTCCTTTCTTGTACGTGTTTAGTGTTTTTCTAGAAGAGCAGCACTTGGGATCCTACTTTCTGGCTGAAATTATTTATAAATCATTAACAGGAATATATTATGTCCACAAAATTTCTCAGAGTATGCATGGTGTAGAGTATATCCATGAACGTTATTTATTTTTATTTTGTAACTTACTAAATCCTCCATGTTCTCAGACAAAAGCAGCAGACACCCCACCCATGGCGAGGCCGGAAGGATCTTGAAGAGTTCGCCGCCACCTAAACCCAAAGCCATATCTCTGGATCGGACAGAAGTCTTCGCTACCGTCCTCTTCACGGAGTTCCTCAAAGAACTGGCTGCCATCGCACAAGAGCACTCCATCTTATCGTACATTCCTATGGAAGAGTGATCGTGTCCCAATAGGCCTCTGTGAAGAGTCCAACTTAACTCTGAAAGATTTTAAAAAGACTCGATGGCTTTCTTTTTTTGTCGTTTTTCAGGCACTACTTGATGAAGAAACCTCTTAGATCAAGTGATTTATACTAAACTATTTTTAAAAAGATCATAGCATATTTATTTTCCAAGCAAAGATAATCAATTTCATGTGCTTTTCAACTTCAACTTTGTAGTTCTTCAAAGGGTTTTGGCAGCCAAGGAGGTCCAAACTTCGAGCTGGAAACAATCTTGACCTGTCCGCTCACAAGAACGAGCTCCAGGTCCACCAACCAAAGACTGTAAAGAGACGATTTAAACAAAAACAATCATCGGCCCTCATCTGAACTTCAGGGTTCTGCCCTCTTTTCTGAATGTCTTCTACAACCAGCTCCAACCACAGCAGAATGTCTGTTAATGGTTATGTTTAATACTCAGGTGGCCTTTCTGGAGAGTTGTTGCCTCTTTTGCCATTGGATTACACACCATAACTTAGCACCAACGCCGTTTTCAGAGCGCGATTGTTTGAGTGATTGAAAAATGTCTTAAGAAGATACTGGCAGCAGGGCTGGCATCATCACACAGCTTTTACATGACTATTTTTGGGGCAAAAACAGGTTGGTCACTTTCGTCTTTAAACTCTACAAAGTGGTTTTTTTTTTTCTCCACAAAATCTTTTTGTCTTAGATGTACGTTTGTTTTGGTGTGTTTCTGTTCATTCATGACGGTACCTCAGGAGATTTTTTAATGCATGTTCTTTTCTCTCAGTTCTTTGGGTGAAGCAGTTTTCTTACAATGCACTAGTTTCTCACATTAATGGGCTCCACATGTTCTCCAGATCAGAGCACTAAAACCTGAATTATTCTTCCTATATTTAATTTTGCCTTACTTTAGTGATGCTTTATAATGTACATATTGTAAGAAAATGTTCTAATGACACAGAACACTATGCAAATCAATGATATTTTGGGTATAATTAAGTTTTGGATATTTTCAAAATGGGAAGGGGTATTTAAGCTTTTATGTGAGTTTCTATTGCTATATATATATATATTTTCAATGAGGTTATAATAGTTGCTAGTTGTTGTGGTTTGTCACCATCTTCTATTTAGGGATTGTGTAGGGTGTTTAGTTGTGATACGTCTCACTGTTGGGAGAGTCATAGTTTGCATCTGTTGAAAAACCATCTCAGATTGAAACTGTTACAGAGGGCAAACTGCTGGAGTTGCCTTTATTTTAGTCCAGGTATTGCACACGGTTGTTAGTATGGTTTTTAAAATGAAATAATACAAGAATACAAGTATTTTGTTACAAAGCATGCCTCAACTGTCTAAATGAATTTACCAGGACAGAACTACTTTTAAATTAGTGCCTAAATTATGATTTCAGTTCACATTCTTGCCTGACTTTGAATGGATTTACATAGGAGTAATACAAATGTATTTATTTTTGTATTTTTTGGTTTAATTTTTGAGTTGGAGCTGTACATTGTCAGAGTGTAAAAGGAAAGACCATAGAGACTGAAGATGTGCAACACGTATTGTTTGGTCACCTTATTTCTTTTTTTATTTAACTATAATAATGTATTTGTTTCTCGATAAAACTAATTCTCTAGCAGTAAATAAATCACCTCCATTCACACCTTTTAAGAAAGATGCAGTTAAAGTGATGTGGATATTTACACAAGCTTTATTAGATCTTGGATTTTTTTTAAAGATTTAGACTGAGATAATGGACTGCTCCAACTAGATCTAACAAAAAGTAAACGTAATATTGTATAAATTATTAGGAGAAGGAAAATGGCAACTATACATCTGATATTCTTGTAAAACTGCACCAGGCTGATCAGTGTTTTCATCTCAGAAATCCAGCTAATAAGACAAATTTAACTTAGTCTAGATTGTGTGCATTTGTTCCTATTTAAATCCATTCAGTTTCTACTTGATGCTATGCAGGCAATAAATAATGCTGTTGGATCTATTTGTACTTTTTACAAAAACATGGCTTAGAAATGTATATTTGTATCAATCAAAGCCACTTTCACAATTGTTAAATAAGTCTTTTTTTCTCTGGTAAATTGTTTCAGAGCACTTTATCAGCCTTTTCATATTGCAGTGCCTCTGCGCTGCTGACACAGACTCAACCTGCACAGATGCAGTCTGTACAGATATAGCACAGTATAACAATCAGTGTATTAGCACCAACGTGGCATTAGACGGGTATTATAACCAAAACCACAGACCAGTTTCTGTCTCAGTAGGTTCTTATTCCAAAGATTCCTCCTTTCTGACACCATTTGGCCTTGGTTTTCTATCCAAGATGTGATCAGGTTTCTGTTCGTTGCGGATGTCTGAGACACAAAGGCATGCCTCTTTTAATAAAGACAACTTCTGGTAAATTAATCTGGATGAACTTAATGTGTTGACCTATTAAACTTTTTTTTTTTAAAAAGCAAGGTTTTCTAACCAGAAACTAACAGCTGATTTACCTAACCGGTTTCATCTGACACAATCAATATATTCTTTCATTTTTGCCAGAGGTGCTTTGTTTGTTCTGTAGACATTGACGTCCTCATTTAATAACATTTCCTTTCTGAGCAGCCCTCCCCCAGAGAGATTTTGTTCGGAACTGGGTCTTGTACTTGGGTAAACACAAGAGCTTATATTCTCCATTCACAGGCAATGATTATGAAATACTGCAGAGATGAAGCCAACTGTGTTTGAGAAGCTTTTGACAAGAGCCTTTTGCAAGTAAACCACACCATATTTTGCCAGAGCATTCAAATGAGTTATTGCATGTGTAGAAGAAAAAAAAGTACGAGGCCAAATATAGTGGATGGTCACCTGCTGTCAGACTTCTGTTACAAAGACCAACGTGGAAGCTCAAACAACCAAAACAAAAATGTAATTATTTTATAATGAAAAGAGCTCTAGGGGCTGTGCAGTAACCACACAGGCAGTCTGCAAACCGGTGTAGCTGACCAAAAAACAACAATGCATCCTGATGGAAAAAACAAACTCTTTACTGCATATACTTTACGTCACATTTAAAAAAAAAAAAAAAAAAAATAATGCAATGTGAAAGATGTTATTTTTATCATCTTCAAACGGCAATTATTTACCTTCAAAATAAGACTTACATTTAAATAAACTGAACTGACTGTATCATTAGAGGCAAGAAGTAAACGAACAAGGCCAGGTAATGGCCATTATTCCTGTTTACACATGTACTGATCACAAAAGGTGACATTTTAAGCCTTGAAGCAATTAAGATGAAGATTGTGCAAATGATCTGCACCTCAAAACCACAGAGAATCCATATTTAATGCACCATAACTTAGGAAGTATTACAAGGCAAATAATGTTCTTCGACCACAAGAGGGAGCTCATTGATCGCTCTCCTGCCCGGATGACCGAGACAGGCAGGGTTTCTGTTGACTCTTGATAAGAGAGCATCCGTCACGTCAGCGGTTTCATCCTTTGCCTGTGTGATTTTCAGGCCTTACTAATGACTATAATAGCCAATATGGCAGAGGACAATGGTTCATAAAGTTATGTAGAAAGGGTTATATTGCATTAAATGCCAATTGTTCTTGAAATACTACTTTTCTTTATTTCCTAACAGCCCAATTTAAATTTATATTAAACATTAAATGAGCTTTCCAGTCATGATCAGATTTCACTTTTTCCACTTTACATATAAATCTCATCAGCTGTTTAGAATATGAAAACGGATATTTACTGTATCTTGGGATTTCTGAATGCATTTTTTCTTGACAGAATATAGCGAATGCTGATACGACGACAATAGTATTAATCTGAAAAGCTTTATTACTTTTTAAACATATAAATACAGACTATAGTGAAAACATGATTTAGTATTTACAAAAAATATCACTGCTCTGTGACAGTCATGATTCATCTCCTTTTCATACAGATCTACAGTATCACTGTTGTATCGTTTGTCTTTCATGAAGGTCACATGCCATGATTTGACTCTGATGTGATCAACAGTCTGACTTTAATGAAGTCTTCTCTTGTAAAATTGCCCTCACCAACACTGGGTCAGCTCTTCCTTTGGTCTCTTTCTGAACCAGCCCCATCAGCTTGTTCAGAACTTTCTTGTTTCCATTCCTGATGGCGTTAACCTACAGAGAGGCACAGCAAACACAAAACATCTCAAATGTGCAAACAAACCAAAAAAACAATGTAACTACAAGTGAGAATTTGCATGTGAGCCCTCACCTCATCAGGGTTCGAGTCCACCACCTTCTGGCAGATGCTGTGCAGCTGTTCGGGGTCACTAACAAGGCCCAAGTCCAGCTCCTGGACGATCTGCAGGGCTGTTTTGCCTGATGACTTCCACATCTCCTGGAACACCTGAGAGCAGAGAGAAACCAGGTGAGAACCAGTATGCAAACCAGCCCTAGCTGGGGTGTTTGTATTGAGTGACATATAGAAGGGGATAATTGCATGGTCTGCACAGCCGACTCACCTGCCCGGCAACTGAAGAGGAGATATGTCCTGTTTCCTGGAGTTCCAGCAGCTCAGCCAGGGCAGAAGGAGAGATAGGGCTGAAATCAAATAAAGGGGTAATTTAATTACAGTTTAATGGGTGTACCGAAGAATTAGTGATAAATGGAGGGTGAGAAGGAGAGAAAGAGTCTCAACAATTGTGATTTGACTGTTTGTCTTTCTTATGTCTTCTTGTTTATTCCCCAGGCTACCAGACAAACTGAATCAAAAAGCCTGTTAGAAAATATTAAGTAGTTTCATTCAGTATTCTGCAGGCCAGACAATCCGTCTCAGCTAAATCTCCTCCAAACACGGCCTAGACACTATGGAACAATAGTTGAAGTATCCATCTTTACAGACACAACAAAGTTTGGCCGACTGATTGTGTGTCAAGTAGAGCGGTGATTCCCAACCGGGGGTATCTCATGGGGTAAAGCCGAATAGGACTATCAATTCTAGTGATGCAGATCTTTTAATACATTTACAATAACCACTAAGCTGCCCATCAACCTGAGTCAGCTGTGACACACACATACACACACACAACACTGTGTTCAGTGTACAAGGTGTTCCTGTAGGTCTGCTGTCAGTGGTGTAATGCAGGGTATATGGAGTATATCCACTTATTTTTCAGTTGGCATTAGGTATACCCACTTCTACATCCCCTCTGATGTGCATCATTCAGTAGTTCAGAGGTTTTTTTTTTTCCTAAGACGGCAAAGGAATTACGTAGTTGTTCAATTTTTATGAGTGAATGGAGTAAGGAATAATGAATACTTACACTCTTCTGTGGTTGATGTTAATTTCATAATGATCATTACTCCCCTGAAGCCATCCAGCAGACGTTAAGTGACAATGTGCAAATACTACTTACTCATTTTTGGGTGAGCTAAATATGCAAGAGTAGTCTTACGTGTCACTGTTTATAACCCAGGGCGTTAATCCTGCTTGCTGGACGGACAGCTTTAAAAAAATTAATTAAATTAGCATAAATTAGCGTAGCCACTTCTCCAGGCACCGCTACACCATGGCCTGGCGTAATGTAGGCCTGGCATCATGCTGCCACCATCCTGCCACAAATCATCCACTGGACCCACAGTGAATTTCCCTCAGCTGCCAGCACACCCAGCAACGTTTGTGAGTGGAAACCCTGGAAGAGTGACTTCTCTCCGCTGGTGGAAGCAAACAAGTTCCTCATGAAATGTCTGGAGTTTCACCTCTCCCAATTACTTATTTAATTTATCCTACACAAAGACTTGGTGCCAGAGGGGCAAAAGGAGGCTTGGGCGCATTATACAGCCAAGATAAAAAAGATTTGACACACACATTATATGCATGCAGAAGGAGAAACGTGCATTCTTATGAAAAACTCTTCAAAACCTTTTATTTGACACCAAAAATGTCAGTAATTTCTTTCTGGCTGCACACACTTGAAATGTTTTTTTTCTAATGCGGCTGAGTTTTTCTGTTTCCTCGCTGCCTGCAGCTTTCAACGGTCCTGCCGGGCATTCTTTGTTTTTCTTTAACTCTCTTCCTTTCAACCAAAGCAAATGCAACATTATGCATAAATAAACACCAGCTATCTGTGGTTTACTCACACACAAATGCGTCACAACAGTCTGGGAATGGTAGATAAAGTAAAGCTCACAGAATCTGCACTGACGTCAACCCATTACTTGTTTCAATTTCATTTGCTCTGTAATGGCTCTGATTTTTATTCTAAGAATCATATTTCTCTCAGTAGAACAATAGTGAAATATAACCATTAAAATGTCCAACTCAACAATCTGAGTTGGACTCAACATGCTTCAGTTTCTAAAGTCGTGATCTGGTGACTGACCTTCACCCAGACCTTCATATATACAACTCAGATGCATCAGATCAGCCTAATTTTTCCTTTAGCTGCAGTCACTATTAAACTGCCTTTTTAAGAAAATTGCTACAAAGAAATTAGTTGAAATGAAATGTGTGATATTTAGCGTCACAGCATGTCAAACAAAAACAGTGGGAGACAACTGGAGTTTTTTGTTTCATAGCCGGTGGCTAAATAGGCATCTTCATGTTTTTTTGAAGCACAAGCATGAAAGGTACTATGGCAACTTCCCTTTGTATCAAAATATCAAAAAGAGTTCAATTTCAAGAGTCTTTTGGAACAGTTACAAAATCCAACAGCAGGGAGAGATCAAAACAACACCTTCTTCCAGAAGGTAATGATTTCACTAATGTAATTGGATTTGTCAAAACAGGCTTTTCCCTGATGGGCTGTCAGACTGTCGCAGGGGTTTTCTCATTGACAGACACAAAGAATCAGGGAATATCGGATGATTTATGAACTCACACATGTTATTGCTGTATAGTATGCAATGGTCTAATCAGCACTTCTGAACACTAAGAATTTAATAATCCTTGGTGTCAATCAAACCAAACCAGCATGATGCAGAATCGTTCATGGATAAGACTGAATTATTTTATCTAACTAAGGTTAAGACATTGACTATAAAAACATGATTCTGAGTACTATACAGCATAGAAAGTGTTATGCTTAAATGCTCTTTAATCCAGTGCAAACCTTCTTGGGGGAATAGAAATGATTAATAACTTAGATTTTAGTGGTATCTCCTATTGAGCCAACAACAACTGAAGGTTTGTGTATGTTAATGTGTGTCAAGGTTGGGACTCAACAACCACAACATTAGATTTATATTTTATAACTGTTTGTTATTATGATTATCCACTTTTTGCTTTCACTTAAGTTCAGTAGATAGCCACTTGTTATATTTCCTTGCTCATTAGGATTGTCGCCATTGTTTGATTCAGTATGATGCCCAGTCATAATACTTAAAACCACTGAACTGACCTCATTCATTGGCACAGTCATTACTAGATATGAAGCATCATCTTCATTGGTTCAGGTAGAGCACTGAAGTCACTCTTGCATTAGCTAACTGGCATCAGCAACTTCATTCATGCTTCACAGTCACCGGCTCATAGCAATTACTTTTTATCATATTCATGCAGTTGTACGGCACTGCCATCATAACCTGATATTCATCACTATTGTGGTGCAGTCGGACCAGATTTTGCTTTAGTGGAAAAGGGGCGAGACAAATTTCCCTCTGGTCATGGATTTATCTGCCTCTTTCTCACAGAGTTCAGTCAGACTGAACTCTGACAGGCGAAAATGCGAGTCTTGTTTTATAACTGCGCTGTGAAATAATACAAGCAGCACAAAAGAAGGACAGTGGAGGACAGTGACAGAGGTTAATGACAGTGAAATGTTTGATAAAAAGCTGTATGAGTCTCATTGCCAGGTCGTCACATATGGACGCTTTGGGTTATGGTAAATGGGATGTGTCTTGGTGCGAGCCACACAACAAAACAGATGACATTTGTACTCCCAGGTCGTCAAATACCAACGCTTTGGGTTACCTAATCGTTGGTATTTCACAACCTGGGAATGAGACCATTTTTCTGCAGAATGACTGATCCCACCTTTAAGACTTTATGGACTGCAGTTGTTAGGCTAGCACCTATAGTTCTTGTTTACAACCCTACCAGGTGCTATTTCCTGCCCTCCCCCAGCTTTTATCCACTTCATGTAGGTAAATTTCATCAGGCAAAGTTTGGTCTGACTGTAGCTTCGCTCTGCTAATACTGCTAATACGCACACACGCCAATGCCGTTTACTGCCAGAACTCCCTTCACACCCCCAAACAAACCATATGTGCTAAGTTTTTGATTTAACTAACAGCTAATGTTCATGTATAGTATTTATCAAGAAGGGATTTGTTCTCCCTGCGGAAACCTCCTTGCTGCTAGGATTTTCTGAGAGTCCTGTCAAAGAGCAGAGCTTTGAATGCCAAATCTATCTGTAAAACCATCTGCTATAATGGTCTCTCAAACTAAAGTTTAGTCACGAGTTATAGGATACGGAGCTGAACACTTGATACCAGACATAATAAATCACTTTTAGGTGACAATTTTGACATGAAATCAGAGTTCTTAACACTAACCCTTCAATCAGTGGCTTGTGACACCAAATATAGAGAACCCTGACGGACGCAGACTGCATCTGGGGAGTGAACAGATTTTCTTTCAAAGTATTTTTTCGGGAGTTTTTATGTGGAAAGTGGAGAGATGACATGAAATGAGAGAGAGATGGGAGAGAAAGGTCCCCGGTGGCAGCAGAAGTAGGGCAGTTCATGGTTCATGGTCAGTGTCTTAACCCCTAAGCTACCGGGGCGCCAAGTAATAAGGGATAACCCTTTTTTCCCTAATCTCATCTTTTCGGGTTGTTTGATTTATCAGAGAAAGCCTTTGGGGGTGAAAACTATTCAGTATTTCACAAGAAAAAAAAAAGCAAACATTTCAGTAAATTCAGAGAAAAATATCTCATGATCTCTTAACTCTCAAGCTGAAAGCAGCTACAATAAAGCCTTCTGCCCATGAGTACCTTTATCTGTGCATGTTCCTCCTTCTCGGAATCACCAACATCTTAGATACAGCATTTAAAAAAGGTACAAAGTGAGCAAGCCAGTCACAAGAGGCTCAGAGGGGTCAAGCCATGTGCCAAGCGTTACTGTGTGTTATCAGGGTTACTACTGGTGGTATGAGCCAAAAATAAACACATTTTGCTGTGACGTAATTGCAATAAACAGATCAAAAGGATACTGAAATAACTAAACCATAATGTTAATTTGAATTGGCAGACCTGCACTGCATTCATGAGCTATGATGGCATTATGTGAATATTGTAAAAGTGTCAAAGGAGTCTTTGTATGTCTCACCTCTGGCTCACACTCATGTCTTGCTGTTTGAGGTGACCCAACAGCTCCTTTGTCACCCAGCCGATCACCTTCCTCGGCCCCATCTTGGTCACCTTCAACACTGCCTCAAAGTAATCCACCAGCCCGTCCTCATTCTGCAACAAAACGCCATGAAGAAGCTTTTTATCACTTCATACGCATATTATCTAATTAGGATCGAATCAGCCCAGCAGAGTCAAACAGTACACAGCTGCTTCCTGGATTCAAGCAGAACTGCATCCATGTTAACTCTGCTTGAACTTGATCAGATGGCAATTAAAAAAAAAAGATGTAGGAAACAGATTTAGTGAGGGAATCAGCTCAACTCTCTCACCGGTTGCTTTCAGCCACTTATAAACTCACCACCAGGGTGAAGCTGTGCTCGGGCAGGATGCCGTACGTTTGTACCAGCCTGTCTCTTTTGACACTGGGTAGCTCTGGCAGCCCTTTCCTTATCGTCTCCACCACCACCACCTGGCACGCATCAATGCCAGTCGGCAGCGATGCATTATCCTCATACACAATCAGAGGGGGCAGGTTGGGTTCTGGCATAAACCTGATGGGAGGGCGGGCAGGGGATTAAAAAAAAGGTAAGGAAGGGAGGAATGCTTTATCAGCAGTACAGATAAGCTTCGAGAAGAGAAGGTTGGGTTTTTGTTGAGATACTAATAGTCTTCTTGACACCACACTTGTCACATTTCACTTACTCCCCTAATCATTTGACTCCATCAGCCTTAAAGCTGTCCATCTATCATTCCCCCCTCCTAAACTCACACACATACACATAACGGAGGTCCAGACCTTGAGTGACATCTGTTTATTTCCCTCCATCTAGCTGCCACTCACACGCTCTCATTCTCTTTCAGTCCCCACTGAGGGCAAGATCAACTCCCGATATCATAACTGCACGTCAATAAACATAGGCTCCCGGGGACAGAAATGAGCAGAGATATGCAGAGAGCCCCCAAACTCACACTCACCGGTAGTCCTGAAGACCCTCTTTGTCCCTCATAGGAACAGTCTCCCTAGAGAAAAACATAAATGAACAATAGTAAGTGAACAATATATAATAAACAACAAGCTTTCAAATACTTCAAAACAGAAGGAATTTAACTAGAGGAATTTCAGCAAAGATATGAGATGCATTTAACAGTTCTGCAATACTGCTTAGTGCTCACTAGCTGAATAATCAATGAATCCATCAATAAACATTAATTAGCAACAAATTTCACTGATTCAAGCATCTCAAAAGATGAAGAGAACACAATATGCTGCCTTTCCTTGTTTTCTGTAATAGAAAACTGAACATCTTGGGATTTTGGATTGTTGGTCCGATAAAACAATATATTTGAATATCTCAACTTGCACTATGGGAAATTGTAATTGGCAATTAATCAGCAGATCAAAAGCTCAAAAGCTCACTAGTTGCAGCCCTAACCCCTAATGCAAAATAAAACTGTATAGTAGTACAGCTAATTGCAAAAAACAAACAATAACAATATAAAAAAGACTGGGAACATATGAGTGTTGATGCCTTCCAGTCAGCCTGCTGTCTGTAAACCAGTGGAGTCAAATCTGTAGCCACCATCACAGTAACGAGAAGAAAGAGTGACTCGTGAGCCATCACACACTCCATTTAACACACTTCACCATGTACCTTGGACATGCAAGGCCTCATGGGAAGGAGGCAGAGCACCAGAAGATGATCAAGGCCTCAGCTGTGTGCGAGCTGGCTCATTCTGTGAGCTCATAAGCCTGCGAGTAGCACATAGCTCACAGATAACGCAGGATGACGGCGGCATCCAAATGGCTCTATTCATCATGATTACCATGATGGTTCTTCCTCAGCAAAGCTCTGGACTAATGAACCGGGCAGAGATCCCAGTCAGAGGGTGTTGTAGTGGCTGAAGCTTGGCATCGTGGCCCTGCTCTTTCATCTTCTTACCCTGATTTGGAATCATACGCCCGGGTCTCATTTTGCACCGTACCCCCTCTCTGCAGGATATCGATCTGTCTCTGTATCTCGTAGTCTGGTGATGTAAGGGAGAACATGCACACAAATACAGACAGTTTATCCAATAACACCAGTACGCACAAATAAAATCTTGTGGTAAATGCCAAACATCTGCTGTGATGTACTGGCAGTCCTCAGGTCTCTGACTGCTGCCACAATTATAACTGTGATAAACGATGTTTTTCTTCCTGACTTTTAAATACCAATTCAGCAGCAGAGTAAATGTGATACAACTTTATTGATAAATAATTCAAACACAGCACCACGGTATGTCAAACCGTGATTAAAAACCTGCATGTGAAATGCTGAAATTTTCTGGCTGTGACTCTTTGTCAGCTTTTTAAGTGAAGCTCAATCAACAGTCGGTGAAGTTAGAGTTGACATAAAATCTATGCTATTTTAAGTGAGCAGCTGCGAGAAGCCAATTCAGCTTCACATGCTGCTATCACACAGCTAATTGTTTGTGACTGGTTGTCAGTCCCAAACTTATGCTTCACAATTTACTGTCAATATTAACTATACTTGCAGTCTTAATGTGTCTCCATAAATCCAGCTCTCTTGTTTTCATTTTAACAAAAAACCTAATATATCTATATCTTTAAATATAAAAGTAAGAAAATATAAAAAGTATACAGGTATAATAAGTACATATAAGTATATATATATATATATATATATTTGGCTTCTTTGTATATGTGTTTCCCATGTTCAAACAAGTATTCAGATCCTTTAGTAATACCACACTGTGAAAATATGCTGACACACATTGGAAATATTACCTGTGAGTGTTATTAATATGATATAATATTAGATGTTATATCATTGTTTATTATTACTGATGCATTCATGTGTATGTGGCATTTTAAAGTTGCACTTGGTCAAGGTTGTGTTTATTTGAACTATTTCAGGTAGTTTAATCTATAACATTGCATCATATGTTTTAATGTAAAATAAATAATAACTAACTAAGCTGTGGAGTAAAAAGTACAGTATTTCCCTCTGAAGTGTAGTGGTGTAGTAGCATGAAATGGAAATACTCAAGTACTTTACGTATTTAGGTATATGTATGTATGTTGACCAGTTTCCAGGCAATCAGTTGGAGGCTCCAAGAACTTACTGGTCTTGTACATAACGGCTCGTAAAACAGCATATTGTTTTTGCACAGCGGTTTTTATACAGAGATACAACATCATGTAAATTAGTGAGCTTTAGAGGTGCTCGTAGAGGGATTTTGTTAATTTTAGGAAAGCTAGCTGTTTCCCAGTCTTTCGGTAAGTTAAGTTACACATAATTACACACACACACACACACACACACACAAACTGTAAGTAATTCTTCCAGGGTGACACGGCGTGCAAATGTCAACTCACAAAATGGTCTTTACTTTCAGAATGTGTGTGTGAGCAATGATGCAGCCAGTTGAGACCCATTCAGATGGAACAGTGTTCAAAGTACCTCCCTGAATATCTGTCGCACACTTAAGCCATCCTGCTACACTTCCTTTAAGTTTTGAACTTTTTATGGTGCTCACCTATAGCCCTTGCCAGGTATCGGACGCTGTTGATGTTCTTCACCTCTGCCCTGATTCCCAGGGGCTCACCCGGTTTGTGGACGGACACATTGGCATCTACTCTGAGCTGCCCCTCTGCGGAGAAAGATGAAGATGCATACTAAATGGGAAATAAGGTTGAGTTTAGAGGTTTAGAAGCAGTTCAGAAAAAAAAAAAAGAGAGAGAGAGAGGCAGAGACAGAGAGTGATTTCCATACCAGACATGTTGCCTTGACAGGTGCCCAGGGCTTGCAGGATGAGCTGAAGCTCTCTGACAGCTGCAGCAGCCTCCTCTCCACAGCTCATGTCTGGCTCCATCACCAGCTCCATTAGACCTACGCCTGACGCATGTGAAGACAGCTGTGTTTTACATCTCTAAGGTATCTATCCCATGGAGCTCAGTAACAAACCGCAACGGTTTTAGCTTTGTTGAGCGACTTAAATCTCCAGAATAATATCTGTCTGAACATTTTTTCTTCAAGTGTTAAAAGAGAAAGTTAGAACATGTTTTCCTTATTGTAGTGCAAATTCACAAAAAGACCAAAAACAACATGTTAGTATGTCCCTCAAAACTTTTCAACTTCTTTACTGTCTGTGGCACTCAGCCTCAGGCCTATTTGTTCCTACTGCAGATGGACTTTTTTTTTTTTTTTTAAAACAGTCACAAAACAGCTGGGCACTGTAGTTTATAGAAAACCTAAACAGTAGTAAGTAATGAATATACTGGGAACTATTTTCAGACACAGGGGTTGACTAAAATAAACTACAGAATCCATGTTCATAGTAATGAAGAAACATGCAAGTGTGTGGCTCATTGATATGTTTTTAATAAAGGTCTATGGCATCAGGATCACCTTATACAGGATCAATTTATTGTTGCTTTTAATGGGATTTGTTGACAGTAATAATGTAAGAGTATCCTTATAGTTTAAATGTAGGGCACAGACTGACGGTCTCAAACGTTACCTGCTCTGTTGAGGTCTATGAGTGTCTGGCTGCGGAGGTCATCGTGGAGACTCTTGCCGCTGTCCTGCTCCAGCTGAATCTGTTTGATGTTGACAGTTTTTCTGATCACCTGGCTCCTCTTTTTTCCTCCAAGGAAGCAGTAAGTCAGCATGCCATCTACTGCGATAGGCCGCCGTAGCTGAGTGATCTGGTACCCAGCCTGAAATTTGAAAATAAATCAGCCTGATATGAGAAATTTCATTCTGTAAAGGTCTGGGCAGCAAGGCTGAGGAGTAAATAGATGACCCAAAACCAACTGTGTTACTGTAGTGTATGCAGAGTCAAATATGTCCCAGATGAAATTAGGAATAAAACAGCCCCACCACAACTGTACAATGCCATCCTATAACCTCGTTCATAAAAAAAATACTGATATCCTTTTGGTTCACTTTGGAGAAGAGCTGGGTGATATTACCTAAAATCTATATTAAAATAAATAATTAGATTTACCTTGAAAACAAAATTTTTCTCCTGCAGTGCATATATTCCTTTCTACTGTTAGCTTCTGATATGTTTATCCCATATTAATTCCGTTCATGTTGACTGTTAATGTTAATTACAGTAGAATGAAAAAGACTTGGCTGTTGGTTGAACTTTTGTTAGATGTCACTGCCTGTTGAAGGTATATAGGTGGGTAGAAATGTGCTGAAAATTGTAGTATGAGTAAATTTGGGTCAGTAAAAGAAACATGTGAGTATCTCAGTAAATTTAGTTTAGTGTCCACTCATACTTTGAGTGAATGAATGGAATAATCCCTCTTTTTCTGTAAGCAAAATATCCTTTTTCCAATTGTGAAATACATAAAATGATCTAAAATACTGTTACCTGCAGGCTTTCATTTAAATCCTACTATTTCAGGGAAATAAAAGTGATGAGTATGCCGCAGTCATTGTCATGGGTATATGTGAAGGTGAGGCTGGCAGCATCAATTAAACAGGGTGCAGGCTGATTGGCTGTGCCGTCATTATCATGCAGCAGGCGTGCTGCCATTTCTCTCAAGGTTTCTACTCACAAAAGCATAAGAATAAATATTTTACCTGCTCCTATATTCCTAAAAGAATCTGCTGCCCCAAGTTTTAATTTCTTGCGTTACTATGGCAACCACATCACAGGAACCACACATTAATCATACTTATGCTAAAGAGAGCGAGGCCGTGGGAGAAGAGATTGGGGGGCTGTTAGTCACTGGCTTTCTGTACAATGTGCCTGATCGACACAATCAATCACCTCCACATCTCGTCCATTTGAAACAAACGGGACAAAAAAAACACAGACTATTGGGGATTTTCTTTTTCAATTTCTGTCCTTCTTGGTGGATATAATCTTTAAATCTGCTGGATTTTGGTAATACAGTTGCAGCTTATCAGAAATCCCCTGTTTCTTGCTTCATCTTTTTATGAGTTTTGTCTCAGCTGTTGAAAATGTTCTCTGCCGGCTGAAGCACAAGCCTGCCGTACTTTACGTTAGGGAGCATGTGCATAAAGTGAAGGCTGTTTGCATTTCCTGCATAAATAAATCAACTTATGTTGCTACATAACGACGGATAAGGCAAGTTTGTTGTTTATAAGATCCTGGTAGCCACATCAAGTTTCCCCCAATTACACTTGGACAGCAGATAGAGCCTTAATGAGGAGTGATGATCTAAACACTCTCTGTGACTCCTCACCCCCAAAGTTACAGATGCATGCCAGCTCACATACTGTACATACAAGATTGCACACACAAGATTGCACACACACACTCACAAACTAATTCTCGTGTTGTGAACCGCTGAGTCATTTTCTGACTAATTTAAAAGTCACCAAACAAACCAGTCGGTCATCTCATTACTGATGTTCTTCTCCGCTACCCACGGAGGTCAAAACAACATTCATAGCTCTCATTAAGCACATGTCAAAGCTTCAATAACCAGGCCATGTCTGTTTATTTGGAGACTTAATATCTCAAGGAAATTGTTATTATTTGCTTTTGCTGGTAGGTTAGTGTGCAGCTGCTGATGCATGTCATTAAAGCGCTGTTAAAAACTTTATATATGTCTTGCCTGCCATTTGAATTGAAAAAAGGAAGGGCTGGTTGGGCAGCGGCATTAATCATTTAATGAGCAACTGTGGTGTTTTACAAAATGCAATCAGGGATTTCTAGTGGAACATATCAATAATGTACAACGCAATTTACAAATGTATTTTTCAAGGGCGGGATAATTTCTCCCTCGCCCCTGCTACTGGTTGGGTTTTATGAGCATAGATTACACTCAAACTTTAGGTTGAACGTGAAAAATGTCCCATCATCTGCATAATTAAAACCACTCGGACTGCCGTTTATCAAGCTGTTTTACACAACAGTGGGACAGATCACTCCTTTTGAGCAGCTGATGAGACTAATACCAACTAAATAATTATAAACAAGGCAACAGCAGGTATTGTGCACAGGGCACACATTCATTTTAAAACACAAATAAAGGTTTTGGGATCAACCTGCTGGCATGAGTTGTCTCTCAGAAAAATAAAAACTGCAATCGGGAATTATCGTCCCTGCTGTGTGTGTCGACTGTTGAGAATTATTCCGAAGTAGGTGATGCAATCTTCAGTAAACACACAAAAGAGCACGAGGAACCCAACAGTAATCCCAGCGCTTCTGGAGGGGATTTTGCTGGAATTTTAAGATACATGGACTTTCTGGGGAGATAATGTATCCCTACTACAGTGATTACAAATATGTACTGCTGCAACTTTGTGATAAACACTAAGTTTATGAACAATTAAATGGGAGGAAAAAAGATTCACAGTAAACTGTTGTGCTCCATCAAGCCTTATCAGTCACATTTTCACAATATAATGAAGTTAGCTAAGACATTAGAGCAGAAACTAATCAGAAATGTCAAAAACAGAGATGATTTATTTCAGTGCAATACAGTAATCAAAATAGTTTTTAAGCCACTTCTTTTGGGTAGTTTCTAAGAGATACTACCAAAGGAAAAAAAAATGTTTCATAAGCTTTTCAGTCCATAATTATCCTCCTCATTACCTTGCCCAAAGCTGTGTAAGCATAATATCTAACCCTGGAAAGACTGACTTTGAAAACACAAAATTCTCCAACACCTTTCTTCTGAGAATTTCTAGATTCATGAGAAGAGGTCTCTGTAGGCCAAGTCACTGCAGAGTTCCCATGACATTTTGTCTTTTTTCATCTAAGCCTTAAAATGTCACTCATAATGGCAGTAAAATTACCCTGGGGCTCAGAGGGGTAGTGAAACCTTGCCATGCGAGCACTCCATTACAGAGAGCAAAGTGAACATCACTTGGGCGAGACTGTTAAATGGAAACATCAGTGTTAAACTTTTTTTTTTTGGAAATACCTCTACCACTACCTTACCAGGCAGCTATTAAGGCATGTTGGTAGATATTTCAATACTAACCACATTCCCATGGCATGACCACAGGACTCATATGTAATCCCTCAAATACCACGTCGGCACTCATGTTTGTTCTACTTCTTTGATTATTTAACAGCAGTTAATTTGAAAACTGCAATAGAAGAGGGAATAAAAGCTGCAAAAGCTGAGTTTTTGGTCACTGAGAGCAACTGCCTGCTATGGCTGAAAATGATGACACGGTATGAGAGCGGTGAGAGTGAACCAAAATGGCCAGACAGCTAAAAAATGAGCTCAAACTCACTGTAAAGCCCAGAGGAGCTGCAGATTCATGTGATAATTCTCTGTAGGTTCAGCACCATCATTTCCATTTTCCATAGTTGGCAGCGATTTTCAGTGAAAAAGCTCTGAAAACCCTCTGCATGCTAATTACCCACCAACGAACATCAAACAAACAAAGTCGGCGACTGGTGAACATAGTAAAGCGTGTCGCAGCTAAAGGGACTTACATTCATCAGGTAGACGGAAACAAGACTGCTAATGAATGCTAATGTTGCTTCGTGGCTGCAGTGTGTGTAACTAGGCAACTGTTGCCGACATGTTCATCATATCAACTGTATAAATAATATGTCAATGGTGCGTCTACAGTTTGTTCTGCTTGCCTTCAAGTGGCCAAAATTAATGAATAAATAAGTTAATACTGCTTTAAAGAAGTGTACTCAGTGGCACCTATATGAGGAGATTTAATTAAGAATGAGATAGCCACCATTAGAAAACGCTACCTCTAGGAAAATGACTGGTATCTAATTGAAGTCCATTATGGGTAACTACTAAAGATTGTAGTCCTCTAAACCTCACAAAAGTGTTCATTTTAATGAACTATTTAATTTTTACATCTTATTATTGTTTCAGACAGTTCATGATTAAATGTATCACACCCCAGATTGTTCAGTTAGCACAGCACTACCTGGGTTTTTATGACTCCAATAATGATTCAAATTATGTGAACAAAAAGAAAACTATCCCCAAATTATCAGCAAATGCACAGAGAAGGAAATGACCTGTGGATAATGTAAAAAAAAAAAAAAATAGAAGTACACTGAAGGAAATGAGATGGTAAGTGAAAAAACACTGTTCATTTTCTGTAACAGCTTTGGGGTGTCATTCGTCTGTACGCGGGGCAAATAGCATTTTTTGCTGCTTCAGCAAGGCTTGTTCGCTATTTCAATTAGAGTTCACTGGGAGTGTTGTGATGGAGAAGCTGGAGGCAGATGAGGACAGCTTATATCAAAGAAAAAGCAATGATGCAGCATGATGTGCAGGACAATCGTGTCCCTGCACTGCTGCTTGTCAGATAAGGTACCCCCCTTACTAATGCCTGTGCTATCACTCTCCCACCTAAACTCTAAGATGTAGTGCAGAAAGTGAGGACAGGGAGTGGAAAAACTCACAGGGAGGTCAGCGTAGAAGTAGTGTTTTCTGTCAAATAGTGACTTCCTGTTTATGGTGCAGCTGAGTGCCAATCCTGTCATCACCGCTGCGTCGACACATCGTTTGTTCAGGACCTGGGGACACGCAGAGACATTACCTGACGAGAAAACGATCTAAAAAACAACAGGTTATCTTTGTTTGAATTGCGTTAAACAACACTTACGGGTAATGTGCCAGGTAAGGATGCATCAAAGAATGACACCAGTGAGTTTGGAGGCGCTGAGAAGCGAACCGATGAGCCGGAGAATAGCTTGGTGTTGGAGTTAATCTGGGCATGGATTTCCAAGCCCACGACTCCAACCAGCTGCTGGGGAGCACTGAGGCAGAGAGGAGCAAGACATGGTTCAGACAGAACCAAATAAAAGAAACTTCAGAACAGAAGGATTGGGGATAACCAAACCAGACAGAAAAGAGGCTGTGTATTGTTTCTGTTGGGTCCATTTAAATTAAGACACTTTAAACAGAAGCTGTGTCTTGATTCTATTACATACTAATTCTGCGTACTAAAAAAGGCTTGATTATGAACTGGGCTTTTGATGTACACTATTGTCCCATAATGCAATGCAAAAAGGAAAGAAATGTGAAAATGGTGGTGAGACAACTCCAGAAAAGACTCTAAAATCAGAGTTTACTTGACACACTATAATTTCCCATTAGCATAAAATGGTCAAGCTTGTCGATTCCTTATATAGTAACTTCAAAAAGAGTAGATATAGCACATAATATACAACTATTATATGTAGTATGGAAATGGGATGCAGCACTAGTTTTGTGTCAAAATGTTTCCATTAGCACTGCCTTCCTTAGTTGGGGTTAAGGCTTAATTTGGGTTAATGTGATTAGACCTAAAGTTTAATTTGGAATTGCAGATGATAAATAGTACAGTCAAGGCTGCGGCTGGCTTCAGGTTAAAGGGGAACTACACCAATTTTCCACATGAAGATCAGTCTACTTTTCAGGAAAAGTAGTAGTAATGCAAGAAAACAGTTGTATGTCTTCTGTGGCTACGACAACAGCCCTAGCAATGTCATCGGGGTCATCTCAAGCACGGCCCAGTTAACCTGCTGTGTACGTGTGTGCAGTATTCCTGTGCTGGAATAACATGGCTCCTTTTTTCTGTGTGATTATCTGATTGAACACAAATAAATCCAGGAATATGCACTGTTTAATCGCAGCATTAGAGTCTTAAAACTGGATTTGACTCATATTGTGCTTTAATTATGCATGTCTTATAGTATACCATTGCAGTTAATCGTTTTCTTCTGGGGCCCCTTTTTGTCCAGATGGTAATCCAGACCACAGGCTGGGCTTGGAGACAGCAAATTTATAACAGAACGCTTTAAAAACTGGAAGAAGTGGAGTTTGAAAGACAAAGATAGTTGATTGTTGAGTCTCAATCTCTGGTCCTGAAGCGACTGTATTTGAAAACCTGGCAATAAGACAGTTATTATTAATTCTTAATTAATTCTTTCTCAGCTCTTCAGTTGTATTTTATTTGCCCCCCTCTGTTAAAGCTGATTGGCCGATGTACACATTACTATCAGGCCACGCTGCCCATAGTACTGAAGAGTGGAGGAGATCAATAGTACGGTTTCTTCACCTGCTTGTTTTTTCTAATTCCCAGATTGTAGCAATCTACAGACAGAAGGGAAACGACAGGGAAGTGAAGAGGCAGTCAGCTGTTACGTGCCTTCACCTGCTGTTGTTTATAAATTCAAAAAATATTTAGTGCTCTGAAAGTGAGACATTCTTATGCGAGTGCCCTGATTATTAATGTATTCTCTCACTTTAAAACAGTAGCGTTACGTTGTTGTTATTTAGCCTTTTCGGGAACTATTGCACGGTTAAATCAATACATTTTATTCGCCCCTTCCTGGCGCCTGGCTCTCCTCAGCTCTGATTGGTTGTTTTACATCAGGTATGGTGGATTCTTTCAATTAGGAGCACTAGTAAGGACCCTGCCTTTTCCCACAGATTATCTGTGTCATGTAGCTTTTTACTGTCAGGATCTAGTCACAGTTTCAGCAAATCTGACAAAAAGTTAATTTTATAAAAGTTACCTACTGCTGCTTTAATTAGTATATCAAACTGTCTACAGCTCTAATTTCTTCATGTTCATCTATTTATTTTTAGTCTGTATCAAGCAGCAAGTGTAGGTAACCATAGAAACGGTACATTTGTCTCAGTCCAGTTCGCAGTTAACATTAAACTAAATCATCTGTTAATCACAGTTTTCACACTTTTTACTTGTGCCATAACATTCACACATTCCTTTAATAAATAAACAAACATCTCCACATTTTATTTTATGGCATCATATGTGAATCTCATAAAATAAGACATATGAATAAGAAAACAGACCACAGAAAAAACAAACAACAAATAGGGCCTACCAGTAAATAAATAAATAAACACAGACAGACATAACTTTATGTTTTAGCTCCTTTTTTTTTAATCCATTATTACTTTTATCCATGGTGCACCATAATATCCATAAACCTGATGTGACCTTTTCCATAATAAACATCTCATTCACCTATTTTGTTGCTATTGTTTTGTGTTTTTTTGGCTATTAAAAGTAAGACCCTTAATACGTATATTTTGCTTTTTTTTGCCATTTGTTTTCCTAAGGGGATGCCTAAGATAAATAACCTTTAGATCGAAGATTAATGTAAACTTAAACTGACACTTAAATGAATAGTACCTGCAAACATATTCGACTCAACAGAGGAAACGTCTTCGCCTCATTTACCTTATTTACGTTACTGCTGAGCGTTAAAGTACATTACATACAGGTTGTTAAGGAGCATTGACAGTATGTATTTATATATATATATAAATATATATATAGGAGGCAGGTCGTTGGGGCACTTTAACACAAAGTATTCCGCCATTAGCAGCCTCACTTACCTTTTTGCTCTCGGCTGCGGTTGACTGTGGCATCGTGAGCTTGATATACTTAATCTTCTAATCACACACGAAGCCTTCGGGCACAATATTGACATTTGTTTATTCACGTTATGTAGCAGCCGCTCACTTGCTGCTACACAGCAGGCGGCCATGTTGGGAAAAAGCTCCACTGAACACGGGAGTTGTAGTTCTTTAACGTGACGTTCCATATAGCGTCTACGTCGCTGGTTTTAAGGTTAAAACTACAAAACCCAGATTTTGTACGTTTCCGGCTTCCGTTATAAGCTGCGTCCTTTCCGTTTTGACAACTGGCGGGATTTCTCTGCATGGTAGTCGTGAAGTGGACAGACCTTAAAAAAAAGTATATTTTTTACGAGGTTCCGCCGTTAAAACTATAACAACAACATGATGGCTACAAACGGAAAAGACGCGCAAAATCTCGGCAAAGGCGTTTTTACGGACAAGTCAGTTGCGGTGAACGGAGCCGCCACCGAGGCTTCGTGTCACTCGCAGCGGCAGAACGGAGCACCCGAGCGGGCTGAGAGATTCACCTTCACCCCCAAACCCACCATCGAGGACATTAGGCGGATGCAAGCGGAGTTCACGGACGAACGGGACTGGAATCAGTTCCACCAGCCCCGCAACCTGCTGCTCGCTATGGTCGGAGAGGTGGGAGAGGTGGCGGAGCTCTTCCAGTGGCGGGGCGAGGTGGCCGAGGGTCTGCCGGACTGGACCGAGTCGGAGCGGGAGCACCTGGCGCACGAACTCAGCGACGTGTTGATCTACCTGGTGGAGCTCGCCGAGAAGTGTCGAGTAGACCTTCCCCAAGCGGTGCTTCGCAAAATGGCCCTAAACCGAGTGAAATACCCCGCCAGCAAGGTGCAGGGCTCGGCCAAGAAGTACACTGAATACAAAGACTGAGTCTGGGTGTCAGCAGCTCCAGCAGACACTCGCTCACTCACATGCTGCACTTCAACTATCGCCTGCTGCTGAACATTTAATCCCTTTTGGTTCTGGGTTAACTTGATAACTTAATGTTTGTGTATTTTCTTGGATGCACATTTGTTAGCCTACATATGCAAAGGCACTAGAAGGGATACTGCATGTTTTATTGAGGTTAACTTTTTATATACTGTTTTTTAGTCCGATCATTGGTGTATACTCTTATAGAAGATATTACTGTTGTGCAGTGCCTTTTTGGGGGGAGTATCTAGAAGAATATATTTTTAAAGGTTAAAGCTTGACTTCAGTTTAGGAGTGTGACGGATGATGATCAATGTCCTGATCACAGTAATTGTGACTTGTTTTGAGTTTTAGATTTATCCTCATTTCGCATCTGGGTTGGATCAACTCATCTTCTGTTATGTTTCAAATCAAACTTCCTGTCACAGTTGTTCCTGAAGTAAAAGTTGCTTTAACTCTGTCCTGTGTATTTTCACTCATTTGAATCAGTTAAAATGGTTGTTATTGTGAGCAGTTGCCCAGTTAAACCCAGTTCCCAGTTTATTAGGTACACCTACCTGCATCTAATAATCTTATAATACAACTGCCCAGAAGTAAATCTTAAATAAATAAATAAATAAATATATGTTGTAATGCTCACTTTTTAGAGAGGTGTTAAACTTTCCAGTTAATTTTGGAGGCTGTAGTCTGTGAAACACGTTGAATTATATCATACAAAGAGATCTTTCTAATACTTTGTCTACTGTCTGGACTGGACAAAATATTGGAAATACCTCTTAGTGTAACAGTGCAATTTAAAACGCTCCTGAAACAATTTTTACCTAAAGTTCCTCGTTCTGATTCAATATTACCAGGTTGCCTGAAAATGTTAAGTGTAATAGTAGATCGTTACCGACTCTCTCACCATGTAATTTGCAGTAATTGACTGCGTTTGTGTAGCACTTTCATTCAAAGTACTTTCAGGTTTTGCCTTTCTTTTTACTTTTTCTGCTACCATGCAAGCACGCCAAACCATCAGGAGCAATTTTAAGGGGTCAGCGTCTTCCCCAAAGGGACGCTCAGAACAGCAGGGGATCAAACTACCAACCTTGCCATTAGGGAACGACCCTGCTCTACCTCATGAGCCGATGGAGTAGCGACTGATTTAATTGCAGTGTGTAACGGTTTTATTAAAATCAGGAGTTGGAGGGGAACGTGAATAAGATGTTAAGCGGACTTATCCAGTATTTTTTACCTTGAATGAAGCTTTGATTGATCTTTCTGCAGACACACACTGGTGAAACATGTCTGTGTGTGCACAAGAGAGGGCTGCATTTTGTGTTAACACGGTGATGAAACGTCTGATATCTTTTTTTCCCCCATTTGATGTGTTTCAAGATGCGAACATTGCCCTCAGCTGTATATATCTTGGTATTTACTCAGAAGCATGAGTCATCCACGGGTCTGCAAAGGAAGAACAGCCATGCATCACTGAAATGTTGCTCTGTGTGCAAGTTGAGCCTCACTTCAAAGTAAACAGCTTTTTACTTAAGCAGATATGACACGGCACGCCACATTAAGAATGAGCAATTGTCCACTTTCTTGGTGTGTGTCCAAAGAACTCGTATAGGCAAACTCTCCTCCTCTTCTGACACTGTAATGTGTAAATACATCATTTTAATTTTAGGGTCTTTGGAGTGGGATGTAGGGAAAAC